TGCAAAACGCTAAAACCTCTCGACACCGGTCGTGAAGTTATTGCTTTTGTACTGTCAACTGGAAAGAATTATTGCGTCTGCGGTGTCAGCCCATGATGTGTGACTTATCGTCTTAAAATATAAGCTTAAAAACAGTGACTTGTGGGAACAGCATATACGCTTTTTTCATCTCTGTGTGGTCCGCCGCACCCTTTTCCCTTATAATCCTATGATATACGTGTAAGACCTTGGTTTCCTACCTTTGCATTTATATTTTCTGAAACATCTGAGAATTCACTTTTAGATGTATTATCTAATTAATATTCAGAACTGATGATGCGAGAGTATTTTGTTCCGTATTACTTCATCGTTCGTAATATTTTCGTGGGCATTTAAATTTCAGAAATCGGATTTATCGGTACGTAATGTCTGTTATTTTCAAATGAGTAGCCGTATAATTTGAAACAATATTTAAACAAAATTGTGTGCATTTATACCTTCAAACAAAAACAGAAGAGTTATGATGAATATTTTCTAACTGCAAACAGTTGCACTATTTACAGGGAATCTTTAGTTGCTTAATTTTGCAATTCTTTCTAACAAGAAATTGTTTTTCATAGGTATTCCCGGATGCGGTCCTATCTTGAAAGCTGATACTTTTCAACTCATTATATCACCTGAAAAAGAATTTTATGCATTTGGTGAATCTGCAAAGTTTTCATGTCCTCCAGGACATACTTTAACTTCAGAGCTTCAATTTATCATGTCTTTAAGAAATACCTGGTCAGCAGAAGAATTTCCAGATTGTAAAAATGTGTAAATCATGTGTAAATATAGAATATTAATATAACATTTTTATTAAAAGAAAAAGACATTGCTTTCTAGTTACCTTTTCCAAATCTGAAATACATCATCCAGGTAACTAACTATTCATGAAATCTCCAGCATTCATGATTATACCTTTCAAATAAGTCGATACTGTAAGCCGTTGCCTAACGCGATTCGTTACGCGTTCGGCCAAAATCGCGTTCGATAAAGTAAACATTCTATGGGAAACATATTTCAGGTATCATTCAGATTTAAAAAGTAAATATAATTTAAACAAACGTGAGTATTGTTGCAATTAAAAGAAAAAACAAACGAAACAAATGTTAATTTAAAGGATTTTATTACTGTATAACCCGTACACGGTATAATTATTTTTTTAAAGCTGGTGAATTTTGCTTGGAACAATGACAGACGCAATTCTAAATATTGTTACGAATTTGGTATTTAAAAAGCTAATATTAGCTCAATTATAAATTAATTGGTTTTATTTCTCGCGCAGTGCAGCGCGTGACGAATATTAAAAGAAAGCTAAGCCGGAAAATTAAAAATACAAGAGCGCGTGCTTTAAATAAAATAAATATCTCTTTTTGATTTCGAGAAAGTACTGGAAAATTCTAGCGCGTGATTTTAAAATCTTATAAAAGGAGGAAAACATCTCAGTTTGTAGTAGTTGCTGCTTAGTTTGTTGTTGTTTAGAAAACTGCTCTTGTTGATTGTAGCGAATTCGCGGATTAGCGTTCTTTAGCTGTTTTTAATTGCGTTCTATTGGACATTTGAGTAGTTAAAAGATAACTACTGTGAGATATTGTAATACTGCATGATAATTTGAGAAAATTTAAGCATTTTTGTTGTGATAATAATAAATTTTTTTTGTTCATTTTTCATCGGACTTGTGCATTCATTTCATAACGAACCCGTACGCACGCAACAATTTTTGGTGTCAGGAGTGGGGTTTGAATGCCAATAACAAGAGCGATGGAAGAGCAATTAAGGCAGTTAATATCAGCCTTTGCCTCATTTAAAGAAGAAATTAAAGAGGAAATGAAATTGGGCCAGGAATCCGTTAAGGAAGAAATGAAATTGGGCCAGGAATCCGTTAAGGACGAAATGAAAGCCGTTCAAGCTGGTCAAGAAGAAATGAAAAGAGAAATTACTTGCATAATAGAAAAAATTTGAAGCTATGGAAGGCAGAATTGACGCAGTTTGAAAATAAAGTTGGACATATTGAAGAAAAAGTTTCTTCCGTAAAAGATCATATTGAAGAAAGAGTTTCTTCGGTGAAAGAAGAAATAGAAGAAGAGTTTCTTCTGTAAAAGAACATATAGAAGGGAGAGTTCTGCTGTGGAGGAACGAATTGAAGGAAGAGTTTGTGCCGTCCACACCAAATCGAACAACAAACTGATGAGAGAGTTTCTTTCTGCAGTTGCCAAAGAAATGGATACTTTAAAGAAATTCGTAACGTCGGCAGGGAGCAGGAGTGATGATTTTAAATTCTTTTCTTACCAATGCCTGCTCGTCCACCTCTGAAGCTATCCACGTATGATGGGAAGACCTCCTGGCAGGTGTATAAGACACAATTTTCTATCGTGGCGGATACGAATGGATGGGATTCCCAAGCTAAGGCCTGTCATCTCGCCGCTTCTCTAAGAGCCGACGCAGCGGATATCCTTCAGACTCTTCCCGAAAACAAAAGGTTAGATTTCGAAGGCTCTGTCCGGCCTTGGAGTTGCGCTTTGGGGAGAAGTGTTTAAAAGACTACAGCAGGCTCCAATTAAAATCTCGTCAACAGAAGCCTACCGAAACACTTCAGGAGCTCGCCACGGATGGTTGAAAAGGCTGTCCCCACCTCGCCTTTTCGGAGTGCCCGACAGAAACAAGAGAAATCCTGTCGCTGCAATATTTCATCGACGGCATCCGAGATCCTGAAATACAGAAAGCTCTTCGAATGGCAGATGTAAAGGACATGAAAAGCGCTCTGTTGTACGCCATGAAGTTCGAGGCAGCCCAGCAAGCAACTAGTAGAGATCGCTACCCAGTTAGAGCTGTGCGAGTCCATGAGCCAGTGGATCAACTGATGGCTAGTTTAAGATGATTTAGCCAGACAAGTCGACGCTTGATACGGAGTAGGAGGGGAGAAGAAAGTGGCTCTAAGGTGTTGGAGATGTGGTAGTGAAGGTCACCTAAGACGGAATTGCAGAGCCCCCCCCAGGGTACGGAATATAAAGCAGATGATTTTACCACCAGACAAGTCAGTGGCTTGAGACGGAACATATGTGAAAAGAAACTAATTCTAAAATGCTGGAACTGCGGAGTTGAAGGCCACATACGAAGAATTGCAGAACATCCCGAGGTACGGAAAATAAGACCATTTCCCAGCAACGACGCAGTAAACAAATAGTGACCATATCGAGGAACGGAGGTTGTCAGATAATGAAAAACCTTGTTTTAAAGCGCTTTAAAATTTATACAGTGAGTGGCAACAGTAACGGAATGTCCATTAATGGGAATATCGGTGGAGTTCCTTGCGATATGATCATTGACACAGGCTCTAATGTTACCATCATTAGGAAAGATTTAGCTGGAACAGTTTAAAGATAAACTTATTTTTTGGACGCCATCCTGTGTTACCCTTCAGACTGCGTCTGGTGATAAGATCGACATAACTGGGAAGTTAAACGTAAACATCACGTTTGGAAATGCCGCCTACCACACACGGCTTATGTGGCGGATATCACAGATCCATGCATACTCAGGATTGGACTTTTTAAGGAAATACAATTTTTCCTTAGACTTCAAAAACACAAACTGCTTTCAGCATCTGAAGACATGACTATCCATCCTAAGAAGGGATCCTCACACTGGAAATGCCGACGCTTTGTCCGAAAGAACCAGCTCGAGAAACAGCCGAAATCATGCTAGGGTCGAAAGAACCACCAGACTACCAGCTATTCTCCATCTCAGATGCTCTCCCGGTCGAGACCTTCGTCTGCCTTGTGACCACGTGTTTGATCGCCATACGGATGCGCCTTCATCGCCTGAGGAACACATCCAAGACGCCCCAGGCCCGGTTTGAGGGGATGCACCGTTCTGCACGAAGAGAGTCAACTTGGCGACGGAGAAAATGAAGACCAATGCGACACAAGAGCTACTAGACATAGATCCAACAAAGGAGACAAGGTGTGGTTGTGGAACCCGATTCAACGAAAAGGACTGTCACCTAAATTACAGTCACCTTCGGATGGTCCATATACAGTGCTGAACACGAATGACGTCGTGGTTCGGATCCGTGAGTCTTCGAACTCTTACGACAGGTTAGCTCGTTACTATGGCCATAGTACATAATGTAAATAATTGTAAATAGTATAAGACCATGGTCCTTTTTGTTTATAAATGTGTATTTGATTTGATTTGTATTTAGTATTTGATTTGCATTTAGTATTTGATTTGTATTTAGTATTTGATTTGTATTTAGTATTTGTTTTGTATTTAGTATTTGATAGCATTTGATTTGTTTTATTTATTGCATTTATTGTTCATGTTGTTTATTACTGTAATGTAATGCTTATTAATGCATTCATGCCACAGTTGTAAGTTTAGCTTCCTGTCCAGGGATTGTACTGCCCGGGACGTGCAGTCCTTGGGAAGGGGGCAGTGTTACGAATTTGGTATTTAAAAAGCTAATATTAGCTCAATTATAAATTAATTGGTTTTATTTCTCGCGCAGTGCAGCGCGTGACGAATATTAAAAGAAAGCTAAGCCGGAAAATTAAAAATACAAGAGCGCGTGCTTTAAATAAATAAATATCTCTTTTTGATTTCGAGAAAGTACTGGAAAATTCTAGCGCGTGATTTTAAAATCTTATAAAAGGAGGAAAACATCTCAGTTTGTAGTAGTTGCTGCTTTAGTTTGTTTGTTGTTTAGAAAACTGCTCTTGTTGATTGTAGCGAATTCGCGGATTAGCGTTCTTAGGAGCTGTTTTTAATTGCGTTCTATTGGACATTTGAGTAGTTAAAAGATAACTACTGTGAGATATTGTAATACTGCATGATAATTTGAGAAAATTTAAGCATTTTTGTTGTGATAATAATAAATTTTTTTTTGTTCATTTTTCATCGGACTTGTGCATTCATTTCATAACGAACCCGTACGCACGCAACAATATTCTCGGTATGGAGCGTAGAGTTTTCAATACCTTTTTCAAAATGTTCTCTTTTTTCCTCATTTGCGTCAATCTCCTCTGCAAAATCAATTTCTGCTCTGTGCATTTTTTGTCAATTCGTTTAATTTTTGTAATCAATTCTTTTAATTTTTTGTCAATTCTATTAATTTAAAGCATTTTATAGTCTTCATTATCACTGCCGGCTTTACGTTTATATAATAATCACTCTGTATTTTATTTTTTTAATATTACTTGATATACTTTTTAATATTACTATTATACATTAATGTAATCATGTAATCTGTCCTGTAAGATTTATTACTGGCGATTGAAACTAACTATGAACTTAAGATACTTGTTTAAGTTTATTTTATAGATAAATAATGACTGACCAATACATTGCAGTGCATTTCGTAAACAAGAGAAGCGCATTCGAATGAAAATTGCGGTTATCTGTGTCATTATTGGGGTCTAATGAAATGGACAGATCTGCAAAGGGAGAAAAAATTCAACTGAATGGGAAAGAAACCCAAGGCTGGAAATACCAGCGATGATTGTATACAGGAAGCAATTTAATTTAGAATGTTGATAAAACTGGCTATGTTTACACATTCTGGTATGCGTTTGACAGTAAGAATGTTTTTAAATATATTGTCTGCTCCGGCTCTTAAACTTGCATCCGCAGGTTTGCAGAGATGATGTTCAGCGGTATTTGGGCAACAGAAGAGACAGTGGTTGGGATCTCGAAGCATTATACAAGCGCATTGATCATTATCATTTAGGCCAAACGAATGCAACTAGCTCATAAATTAACCATGACCAGTTAAATACTGAGTAAAGTGTGAAGAGCCACTAATTAGACGTTTACCAGATTTAAGGAAGAATTTATGTACTCGTCTTCCTGTTGTTTCTGTCTTCCATAAATGTTGCTGTTGTTTGACGAGTTCTTCATTCAGTATGGCCTTCAGGTCCAAGCCGGGAAATGGCATATCTAAGTGTGCTTGCGTTAGCTTTGGTGGCTGTTTTTTTTTTTTTTTTTTTTCTTCCGATAATGTCCGCATTTTCGTTTCCAATTATTTCTGCATTAGCTGAAGTTTCGGCCTCAGACTGGCTAGTATGCCAATGAATTGTCAGTAGAATCAGAGTTTGTGTAAATGGTACGGTCATGACTATTAAATGATAAGAAATCTAATGCGACCTTGAGGTCTGAGAATTCAGCCTGAAAAACCGTGTTCCTGATGTTGAATTTTCTTCCCCATAACATTATACCATTACATCACCATCCACAATAACCACTATGCGCCCTTTACCTCTCCTTTAGATCCGTCAGTATAGATTGCCCTGGTGTCCATTGCATTTGGAGGGCTGTAAATGATATTTATGTAAAATATAGCAGTATGGCTTGTAAGACTGGGTAAAGTCCGCTCATAGTGCATACAAGCAAATGAGAAAATAAGATAGTCCATGTTGTAAAGGTCTTTCCTTATTCTTAATATATGAACTGTAGTGCTTTCGTATTCTACTGTCAAGTGCAGAGGTGGAATTCCAGCAAGTGCGCCTCTTGGCGGTATTCCAGACAAGGAATGGTCTTCGTGCAAAGTTTAACAAGTTCCTCGTTTTTATGGCGATATTTCTACCCCACATTTTCACTATCGACTGGCATTATAGGATCATCTAATTCTTTATTCGTCACATCTCGATTAATTCTTTGATTTCTTCTTCCATATCCGAAAATCCTTCGTCACCAGCTGCTCTTGCAGTTTGTGCGATTTCGTTGGCTTCAATTTTCAATTAATGGATATCCTTTAAAATTGTTGAGCCCACCAGCGGCCGAGCGGTAAAATCGCTGAACACTGGTAGTTCGGTCCGAGGTTTGAATCCCGCGAACGGGCTGACTGCACGGGTGTTTTCGTGGTTTTCCCCATGTGTAACGTGTATACGAGCCAGTTTGCCTTAGAAAGTCCTCCACGAAGGCATCCCTCCCCTTAGGCAGATAGCCCTCGAGGCTTTGCCGTAATTAAATAACCTGACCTAACCTTTAAAATTGTTAATAACTTCTGGCTAGAGCTGATACCAGCACGTATTCAGTATTGATGAATGAAAGTTAAGCGGCATATAATTCTAGCGGTGGACAAATTATATGTAAGCAATTATTAAGACAGCGCGTGTATGCGAAACCGCGTCTTTATTTATTTCCATGTGTGTGTTCAAATCTAATGGATAAAAAGGCCTATTTTATGTAACAGGCTTTTAAGTTTTCTCAGGCTTTAACTCAAAATAGGGGCCAACCAGTGGCCGAAATGTACAGTCGCTGAACACTAATTCCCACCTGGCTCTGATCCCAAGGTAACCGGCTGGCTGCATGGACTTTATCGTGCTTGTCGGGATGACAGAGACGTGACACAATACATGATTGTAAATTTAACAATTTTATTATCCAGAAACATGACTTTTATGTACAAAATATTTACATGATAGATTATGATTTAAGAAAATAACTCCGTTTAAACTCGAGGCTCCTAACCTTACAAATTAAATCAGCTGGCTAAACTTGAAACTTGAACTCAGGCGTAAACGCCCTACCACAAGTTCTGCAGACAACTCTCGTCTGGCACACAGTATGTCTGTCTTAAATGTTGTATTCTCGTCACGATAGGAGACAGCTGATTGGCTGACCGCAGCCAAATACATGACAGACGTTTTCGTGATTTCTCCATGTGTAACATGTATATGAGCCAGTTTCTTTGAAAATCCACCATGAAGGAATCCCTCGCCTTAGGCAGATAGATAGCCCTAGTATACTTTGCTGCAATCTCAATAAACCAAATCGCTCCCAATAGTGGTCACATTTGTTGAAAAGCGATGAACAGCATTTCAACTGGAACTTGTCACAGGGGAGTAAACAATGATGAGCTGAATTTTGAATAATTCCCGTTCAAAGCAACTGTGGGCTCCTTATGTCATTGTCAGACAAGTGAGATAAATCATAATAACAAAACAGATTACAAAGTGAAATCGTAAATGAAGCTGGAATAATTAATAGCATTTTCTCCAGACACAATTAGGACGCCATTTCCTTGCCATATGAAATGACTTTTCAAGAAAATAACAGAAACTTCATACAGCTACAAGCAATTTAATTCAGTTCTCTTGAAATGTCATAAGTAGAAATCAGTGAAAGATTTTAATTCAATTTTCTTTACTACTCGCAGTCATAAATAAATAATAAATTGATTGCGATAAAGAAAGGAAAAAAGCTAAAGAAATAAGAATGTTCACTTACGTATCTTTCCCAAAGGTTAAGGCCCACCAGCGGCCGAGCGGTAAAGTCGCTGAACACTGGGTAGTTCGGTTCGAGGTTCGAATCCCGCGAACGGGCTGGCTGCATGGGCGTTTTCGTGGTTTTCCCCATGTGTAACGTGTATACGAGCCAGTTTCCCTTAGAAGGTCCTCCACGAAGGCATCCCTCCCCTTAGGCAGATAGCCCTCGTGTGCTTTGCCATAACTCAACACACTACCCAAAGGTTAAGATCAAAAGAATAAGAACAGACTATTGTATTACACAGTTCATGACTAATCAAGACGACTTTATTTTTTAAGTATTTCAAAAGTACTTCGATAATAATATTAAATGCGGTTGTGCACCTTAGGAGCAGATGTTATTTAGCATATACCCGTCGCCCTTTTCTTAAAAGGTCGTTCTTATGTAAATCGCCCCAGCGTGCATTTAAATTTAATTAATAAATGTGCATTTAATTAAATTTTTGGAATTTTTTTTTATACTAGAGGACTTGGAGAACTTGTGAGATTCGTAGTAAAAAATGAGAATTCCTTTCTTTTTTTTCCTTTTATCTTTCTTTATTTATTTTTTTAGCTATAAAGATATGTTACTTACGGCTTTGGAAATCTCCTAATACGCACTACTAGGCAAATGCGTTTTTAAATTATTTCACCTAAGCAATAAAGTTCACTGTTCAAATTTTGTTGTTTTTATTACAGATGGAATTTGTGAGTAGCAAGAGGTAAGATCAATATTTCTACTAAAAATTAAACGCAAGTGCAAACTTAACGAGCAGCCAGTCACTTGCAATCAGAAAAACATAGGTATATTTTCTAAAGTTATTTTATAAAGCTATATCTGTGGTAATATACAACGGTCTCTCATTAAACAAATTAAGAATTCGGATTAATAGAAACGTATTAAACAGCTCTGCGCATGTCCTGTGCCGAAGAAATAAAAAGACCAGAATTAACGAGTAGATAACGACATATTTTGTAAGAAGTGCATGAAGAACGCTTTATAGTATATTTTTATTTCCTTATACGAAGTAAAGAAAGTAGTGCAAACGCGAAAATTTTCGGGTATCGTAAATACGATAACATCCATTTTGACCTCTATCGAATGCAATTTAACGATGATTTTGCGTGACATCTGTACGTAAGGACAGAATAAAGGACTCTTTTCCCTCAAACGGGTTGCAAATAGGATTTAAAATGAATTCAGAAGAGATTTTCGGTTCTTTCTTTCAGTTTTGTGCATCGAAAAATCTGCTTTCTTGCCCGCTGGCCAAATTCCTTGTTTTCTGTAGGAATTGTAATTTTAATTGTAAAAATTGTTTTTTTAATTGTTTTAAGTGTACTTGATGTTTTATGTTTTTCTATATCTTTCAATTTTTAATGATTTTTTTTTTTTTTTTTTTTTTTTTTTTTTTGCTTTGCTTTGTCGCGAAGTGAGAACTGAATTAGTAGCGCATGCGCATTAGGTAAAGCGGCACTGAATCGTCTGTGAAAAACTCTCTCTTTTTTATTTGTTTAACTTCTTTTATACATCGTTTTAGATTTATTACAGTATTTCAATAGAGCGTGTGGTAATACTTCAGATGATATAGTTTCTGTGCACCCTGAGTTATAAACTGAATGAGGTGCAACGATGTTACGTGACCCTAGCACCAAAGTGTCGCTATGGTAATATACGAGGCAGGTTAAATGAAATGCTGGAAAATTGCGTATAATTTAATATTCCGCGCAAGGAAGTCGTGTGGTGTGTACACATCAGATTTTTTTTTATTATTATTATCTTTATATGTTGGTAAATTGTGCATTTTT